GGGAAAAAAAAAAAAAAAAAAAAAAGTCCAGACAATGCCACAGCCTCTCAGGAACAATTTAAGATTAAAAGGACAGAAGGGATTCAGTCATCAAAACACATCACTATATATGAATAAAAGTTTTGCTGGTTTGGTTATTTTTATTTTTAATTGACTGAAGATATTTGGTTTACACAGAACACTTAGCATGTTTTAGAGGTTAAAAATGCAATTTCTGGAGTCAGATTGCCAAATTTGACTCCTAACACCACCACTTTTTAGCCATGTGTTTTTGGACAAGTTACTTAAAGTGTTTCAGCTTGTGTTTCCTATTCTGGAACAGAGGGATAATAATAATATCTTACCAACAGGGTCATTTTGAAGGTTAATGAAGTGGTATGTACATATATTACCTAAATGATGCATTCATAGCATAGAGAAAATGCTCAACATACTTCAGCTATTGTTAATATTATTTCTGGAAACAATTACTGCTTTTATATTAACCTAGTTTTGATAACCAATTTACTATTCAAATTTAAATGATAGTTTATTTTTACTTTCACTGTTTCAGGAAACATTTTATAATGCTATAAATATATATATACACACACATAGTAATTTAAGAATTACTTGACAATTTTAATGTGTCTACTTTCTTTTTATATTGATGAAATTTTTAAAAATCTCGACAGATTCAGTAGCACAAAAGAACTAATATAGATATTTGTTTTAGGATGATTTAGAAGAAAAACAACTTAAATCCGTCAAGAAACTGGTGCAATGTTATCAGAATGGACTTGTATCCTTTATATTTGTATGTATGTTTGTTTCATTTATCCTGAAACAGAGAATTTTTATTAGAAAATGTATTAGATTCCTATTGCTGCTGTAACAAATTACCACAAATTTAGTGGCTTAAAACAACATAAATTTATCTTATAGTTCTGGAGGTCAGAAATCTAAAATCAGTCTCATTAGGCTAAAATCAAGATGTTGGCAGGGCTGGTTCCTTCTGAAGATTCTAGAGTAGAATCCACTTGCCAGCCTTTTGCAGCTTCTAGAGGTTTCCCGTATTCCTTGGTTCATGACCCTCTTCCTCCCAGTGGCACCAGTCTCACCTTTGCTTCTGTCATCACATCCCCTCCTCTCTCTGTCTACTACCTCTCTATGATTACTTTGGGCTCACCTGGATAACCTAGTATAATTTTCCCATTTCAAGATCCCCAATCACATCTGAGAAGTCCCTTTGCCATGTATGGTAGCATATTCATTCATAGGTTCTGGGGATTAGGACATGGACATCTTTGGGGAGACCATTATTCTGTCTACCACAGAAGATATCTAACATTTTGTGTTTTTTACAAAATTATATTTTCTATCAGAGAATATAAATAAAATTGAAGAACCAATATAACAATTAACTTTCTGTGGATAATATGAGTTTCTATAGGTTCAGAAAGACAGTGGATGTATTTAGGAGGGCCAAATCAAAGTCTTGTTTCTATCAATTTACGTAGGCAATTGTACCTTTGATAAACTTCTTAATTTTTCCACCATTATGAAAAAGGGATAATAGCACCTCATGAGATTGTTAGGAAGATCAGATGATAAATGTACATGCAAGGGCTTGAAAATATGTGAAAAATATAAATATATTATCCCCAATGACTATACCGCCCTGATCAGAATACATGGAAACAATGCATCTTTAAAAACTGTAAGAACCAGTTTGTTGTTGGGTTTTTTAAAAAATCTTTTGTGTATATATGCTATTGTAAAATACAATAAAAGTGTCACAGGAATATCAGATTATTATAAAAGTTTTTAAATATCCACTCTCACTTTCTGTACTTATCTCGTCACAGACTGATAACATACAATTCCATAACTGACGGTGGTCTATAGTCGGCACTTTGAGAAGTACTGATCTAAGTGATCTCTGACAGTTGTCTGACCTGATCTAAAGAAGATATCAGTCTCTAACATTAGCTTGTTCCAGTTCAAAACATATTAAGCCTCCCATTCAGGGAAATGTGCCTTATAATTTTTCCTAAATATATTTTTACTTTATTTTAGCCTTGTTTTTTTTATGGATTTGTTGAGTCAGTCTAAGGCCTTGCAGATGTCAGGTACTATTTACTGGTAGCCAGAAAAGTCTGGAAGCAAGTGATTTTTTATCTTAACTTGACACCTCAACACTTCCGTTATTTTTTTTTTTCTTCAGGTTAGACAGTTGGTAGCAAATGTCTCTATTTCCGAATGCCTTTAATAAGCTGGCTTTAAGTTTTAAAACTTAGCAAAGATAAGTTAAGGCAGTATTTTGGCCACTTCTCTAGGAAGTGAACAGAACTTTATACTTCTAGTATACCCAGCTCTCCCATCCCTTACTCAGATGCTCCTAGGAGAGGCTAGAAGTAATAGCATTCAACAGTGTAAATCACAACTACCATAATCTCTTAGCTGTAAAACAAAATCAGTGAAGTTTGTTTATGTACCAATAGCTAAGTAGGTAAAATAAGGTGCTTTTACCTTTTCTAGGGAGGCTACATTTTGTTTTCATACTAGTTTTAAATGAAATAAAATCCCAACCAATTTAAACCTTAAACATAAGAAAATGCTTCTGAGATAAATGTTAATAAAGGAATGAAGTAAAGAAAAGTAAGGTTTGGGTTACTATACTTATTCTGAGGCAGTTTTGTGTGTGTGTGGTAGGGGGAGATGTTTGTGTGTAGGGGGATGGAGATGAAGGATATAATTGAGCCTAATCACTAAGCTAATTTTTTTCAATGTATTATTTTTCATCACCAATAGGAAGTTATTGATCAACCGAATCTGTACTGTAGTCATTGGTAATTTAATTCTAAAGTTATGGTGAGAGGAAAAGAAATTTTGAATAAGAGGTTACTAAGACAAAAATTAAATAATTTTCCTAGAGAAATATGGTTCTAAGTTTTCCTCCTTAGACTTCAAAATAATAATAATTAAATCAGTGTCTACTACATTTAACAAAATTGATGGAATGCTGTAGCCTTCCTGACAGAATTGCTAAAAAGAATATGTTCATAAAGATATTAATCTTAATTTTATTTCTTAACTAAAAATATTAAAGCCCATAAGGGATTTAGCACAGATATTTAAAATTCTGAATCTGTGTGCAGGAAAAATTGAAAAACAGCCCCGTTTTGTAGAATCTGCATCTGATATCCTAAAATTGTGTGGGTAAGTTGTTTCCCTTGAACTTTGTTTTATATTAGCATACAGTAATTTATCATATTTTATTTTCTGTTACAAGGATGTTATGCATTATGGTATAGCAAAGTGATACAGAACTCAGAAAACTTCAGCTGATCACTTGATTCTAGCAGTTGGTACTTCAAAGGTAGTCGGTTTTATTGTGAGATTTAAAAAAATTAATCAGCTAACTTTGTGAGATTGCTGGCCAGAAGAAATTAAATTGTAAGTACACTAAAATATTTTCTTGTAATTAGTTGCTCTCAAGTGATTGATAAATATCAGATGAAACCAAGGAATTATAGTATTTTAAGAGAATCCTTGAGTAAATCTATGGATAATATTTACAGTTTCAGTCTAGTTTTTTTCTCTCTTTAGAAAATTTAGCTCTCAGAGATATATTAGATTGTGTGTTATGTTTTATTTGATCTTCCAAATTTAAATGAGGAATAAAATATCACCAGTTATGTTTGGTATCTATTTTTCAATGTAAATTAGAGGTCGGAATTATAAAATTAATATGCCTCATACTCTCCTGTTTCTCCAGCCAGTTTTGGGAATTACAAATATGTGGTGCTTCCTTACCGCCACATAGTGGCTAATCTGGGTATATATTAAAATATCCATTTTTAGTTGCTCAATATAACGTATGTAGTAGAGGAAACTTCAAGTAAGAATAAACCCTTCTGACAATTTTACCTTCTAAACCTCTCTACCAGTTTAACTTTTTAAATAGCATCGTGTTTTTTTTGTTTGTTTGTTTTTTTCCTTTTTTTGTCTTTTTTACTGACCGGTAACGGGATCGCAACCCTCGGTGTCGCGCCCGTACCGGGGACCGGCAACGGGATCGCAACCCTCGGTGTCGCGCCCGTACCGGGGACCGGCAACGGGATCGCAACCCTCGGTGTCGCGCCCGTACCGGGGACCGGCAACGGGATCGCAACCCTCGGTGTCGCGCCCGTACCGGGGACCGGCAACGGGATCGCAACCCTCGGTGTCGCGCCCGTACCGGGGACCGGCAACGGGATCGCAACCCTCGGTGTCGCGCCCGTACCGGGGACCGGCAACGGGATCGCAACCCTCGGTGTCGCGCCCGTACCGGGGACCGGCAACGGGATCGCAACCCTCGGTGTCGCGCCCGTACCGGGGACCGGCAACGGGATCGCAACCCTCGGTGTCGCGCCCGTACCGGGGACCGGCAACGGGATCGCAACCCTCGGTGTCGCGCCCGTACCGGGGACCGGCAACGGGATCACAACCCTCGGTGTTGCGCCCGCACCACGCTCAGCCAGTGAGCGGGAACCAGCCTCCACATGGGATCTGAACCCTTGGCGGGAGCGCTGCCGCACTCCCAAGCGTTAAATATACAAATAATATGCAAATAGTAGAAAGGTTTAGTAGGACTATGTATACATGGTAGGCTCTAACTCTAAGTTTTAGATTTAGCAGCAATAGTAGTTTAAATTTTGTACCCACTTACGTTTAATTTTTTTTGATATGTGAATAAACTAATAAAAAATAATTTATTAAATGCCTGCACCATGCCTTATTTTTTAATAGGGACCATGGAAAATAAAGGAATAAGTAATTGCTCTGGTGCTTTCAAGTAACTAATTGAAAATTATTATTGTATTGACATGAGATCTAATCTAATCTAATCTAATATATATAAAACACTTTCAAATTTCAAGGCTATGCAAGTCCTAGAACACTGACTTGAGAAGGATTACTTTTGACATCGGTGTTCCTGTAGGGCTCTATCCAGAGTTGATTCTCTATGAAACCTTGTGACTGAATGTTTCATTGTATAATATGACAAATCTTTTGAACTGTACTCTTCGCTTTCCCTCATATTCCATAATTATTCACATTATTAATTTTTCTACTTTCCTAATTTCTGCTATATCCTACATTTCTCCACACCTCACCCTCACTTGATTCTCTTTTTAAGACATTTTTGGGAGATAAAAACATTGTAAATAAAAAAAATAAAGTCAAGCCTTTCTGTTTTGACTTCTAGATAGCATGATTTTGTCATTGCATCCAGAAGTATAATGTCTTTTTTTAAAAAAATAAACTTTAGGGCCGGCCCGGTGGTGCACTGGATAGTGCGCCCGCTTGGGAAGCGCGGCAGCGCTCCCGTCCGAGGGTTCGGATCCCACGTACAGACCGGCTCCCGCTCACTGGCTGAGCGAGGCGCGGGAGCAATGCCGAGGCTTGCGATCCCGTCGCCGGTCCCCGGTCCGGTACGGGGGCAACACTGAGGGTTGCGATCC